GGGAATCCGTGGTTTCCCGTCCTCTCGCCTCCCCCCCCGGGCAGAGGGGACGGGAGGAGGGTGGGCGCGGAGGTGCCCGAGCCCCCCGTGCCCTGCGGAGAACGGACCCGGCGCTTTGGTACCGCCAGGAAAAGGTATAATTACGCGAGCGGGTATAAATTGCCTCTGTGTACCACTGAATCATACTGAGTGCTTGTAATGTGTTCCTTCCCTAATAGATGCTCTCTATGAATAGAGAGAGTGGCTATTTACTCTGAAATACTTGGCACGGTGGACGGAGTCTGAAGCGTGGAAGAAGTGTCTGTTATTTTCCCACTGCATGTGTGCAGCTGTCATTTCTGAGCAACATGTTCCCTGCACATCCCTGCTTCCCAGCCTCGCTGACGGTCCACCCCAGGATAACAACAAGAAGGAACCAACAGGCCACCTCACTCAGCCAAAACCTAAACGTTGTGGTTTATATTTGACCAAACCCAAGACTTGTATTAAACCCAAGGCTTGTATTAAGTCATTGCAGATAACTGTTATGCTTTTTGTTGTTTGTTTTGGTTTTTTTTTTAGGTAGGAGGATGGTTCTTCCCCTCCCCCCCCCCCCCCGCTCCTTGTGTATCATTTGAATATTCAGTGATGTCATGTTGTTTGACCTCCACTTCAACACAAGGAATGCCAGCGTTTTGGCTTTTGACCTATGGAAGTATGTTAGTGTTTAATGAGAGATGCTGGTTTCATGCATCATATTAGGCATTAAATTTAGGCAGAAATCTGATGGATATCTTAAAAGATACCATCTTTGGCATGTAGACTTTCTCCTGCTGCCATGTCCCCCTTCTTTCCATCCCTCCATATGTGGGCACATATCCATCCTATGATACAGCAGTATGTATGCACAGGATTCTTGAGGGGAGAAAGAAACGTGTTCATGTAAAGGCCCAGTAGGATATATTGTACTGTAAAATTGTTACTTATATTTTGTCAGCACTGGTAAAGTCATTTGGATGTAGTTTCTTCTGTTTGCAATTCTCCATTAGCAGAAATGAGATTGGCTCTGAAAGAAAAAAAAATATACCCCAGAGGAACAGTTATGGTAAATAATATATGTTCCCAAACCCATGAGTTCTCCTGAAATCCATATTTACTTGAAGGACTCCAGTGGCCACAGTGCTGGGTAAATAATATGTGTACCAAACTATGTATGACATGCATACCAAAATGCAAATGTAACCAGGTAAACAGAATGCCTTTTTTAAATGCCTAAATATGGTTGGAGAACATCAGAGAGAGAGAGAAGCTTCAGACATGTTTTATAACTTTCCATGTAAGAGGTTTTTTCAGAGAAACAATTTTATTAAACAAAACCTAAGAATCTCACTGAGAGAAAAAGTATGCTTAAAAGTAACAAACCACCAGAAAGCCAGGAAATCCAAAATTAAAGGATAAATCTGTCCAAAGTCCTCACACTGCAGGCCAAGTACAGCAAGCCCCATCCACTTGCTGCACTGAAAAAAAAAAAAGGCTTAAATAGGCATTTGGACCTCAGGACTAATTCTGGTCGTGCACTGCTGTGAGTTGGGCATTAGACCACTGAATTACCAGTTGCCAACTCATAAAAGTGAGTAAGAATCTGAGTGCATGAGGTTTGCCTTTTTGTCATTTTGTTTTCTGTGCTGGTAGATGTGACTCCTTGGGTACTGGGTTTGTGCACGTTTATGTAGGCACAAGGGCAAAGGGAACCTGGAAGCGAAGGTGGGACCTTCCAAGTCCAGCTTGTCTTCAATTTATCCTTTCTGATGGCACTAACTCACGGGTTAGAGAAGTACATCTTGGCATCGATGCATAAAATGGTAAAAATGCACTAATTTTGACTTCCATGCAGGTGTTTATACAGCACATGCTTTAAAGGTAGTGTATTTTTTCTGCTGAAACTAGGAATTCACTACACTGGCCTTTCATACTTGTTTACACAGCTATATACGGTATGTGTGTGTCTACATGAGCTTCAGTTGGGATAGTTCCTTTGGTGAAGTCTTGTAAAATGCACAGGTGTGGATATGCTGCATTCCTTTCTTGTGTTTTTCCTTCTTTTTTTCCTCCTTCCCCCCAAAAAAGTCACTTGATCAGGTATCAGACATACTGAAAACCTGGCAAGACTACAGGAAAGTGGCTAGACTTGGAGTGTTTGTGTACTTAAAGAAAGAATCTTGCACATTTTCAACTTTCAGTCACAGATATTTTTTTGTAAGAGCAATTGGAGGTCTGAGCCAGCCCTCAAAGCGGAAATCAAAAGCTCCCAGAGAAACATACCCAAGGAATGTGAATCTGATCCAACAACCATACGCAATGCACATACAGTGCTGTCAGTCTTATAGGAAGTCTTGCCATATATGGACATCTGGACACTGAGCTGTTTATCATCAGGATAGGCTTGTAGTTGGCTTCAGACATTTCTGGCTTGCCTCAAGTTGTTTGCCAATTAGTTCCTTTCCCAAAACGCTCACCAGGATATTTCTTTAAAATTATAATAAATATATCTCAAAATCCTGAGAGGTCTAGTGAAGTTATGTTAGCAGGCTTTTGCTTAAAATGCAGATTCCAAACAAGACTTACTCTGCTAGCTCAGAAATAGACACAGAATAAAAATAAAGAGATAGATTCCATCGCTAATGTGGTTGCCTGGTATTTGTATTTCTTAGAAGTCATCTAGTAACTTATTCTATGTATCTGTAGGCATAGAAAGTGCTCTGTAGTGGACTACTTGCTGGACTTGTTAATAATTTTCTGGAGGGATGTGTGAGATGAATCAACAAAGGCAAGGCAAAATAGAAAACTTTATTTCCCAGGGGCTGTCAAGCAAGTTAGGCACATTGTGCCATTTATATTGCTTTGTTATAGTGAGGCACGTGGTGCAAGTCTTCTGCCTGGGAGCCGTGACTGTTCACCTCAGCTCATCTTACCAATGAGAGGCATTAGCTCTTCTCCAAAGTGAACAAGGATAGAAGGCTGAGCAGTGCAGTAGATGGCATAGGGCCTATGGAAATGTTCGCTGCTGAACTGGTGGACCTAGTCCAAGTTCCTGGAGATACTGGGTCAGCAGATTCCCTAGTAGCATCAGTTGGGAAGATTCACTGAGTGCACTTCTGGCCATCAAAATAATGGACTTGTGAAGTCTAGATACATTGAGATAAAAAGTACTCAGCAGTATAAGCAAAGCAGAATCATCAGATGCAATTCCCAGTAGGAGAGCTGAGTTCTGTTGTCTTCTGTGATCGTCATTACTTGAACCGATGTTCTTTATGTTGTAACGTGTAATATTTGTTACTTCTGGAGCCACAGAATACTGCTGTAAGCTGAGTAGCTGGACTTCTTTATGAATGTATGTGGCCTTAAAGCAGCAAAGTGATTACTGGAAGTAGAATAATCTAAATGAACATTCAAAGCACATGTAAAACTACTTGGATGAAAGGGAGAATATTAGTAGCGTGAAGCCAAAGGTCCTTTACCTACTGAGCTTCACTTTCAGTACTTTACTGATTTTATTCTGAAAAATTTACCATAGATCTCTGTACTGTAAGGAGCAGCATTCACTAAATCTGTACAGAGGTTGGCCATGTCTTGGATTTTTGTGGGGAAGTGCAGCTCACAAAGGTGATTAAGGAGGAAAGAGACTTTCAGTTGTTTATTTCTTAGATTTCACCAAGCTTCACAACCTCTGGTGTAGGACTGCAGTGAGGAACACTTCTTCCCACTCTGTCATGGCTTATGTGAGCAGGAAGGTATTGGATCTGCTTACTTGAAAATGCATGTGATGTTATTTTCAGTTTTTTTCACCCTTCTCTTAGAAGCTGTCAGTGTAAATTTTGAGGTTTTATGGGTTCTTTTCCCCCAGACTGAGGTGCATTGATGTTTAATTAAGACTTGACAAGGTTAGGGACTTAACAAATGCAGTTTGCTCTGCTGTAGACTATGGGGTCTCTTAATTTATGCTGTAGCTGCTTTGGAGAAGTAGAGTACTGTGGAGAATCTTGCTGGATACATTTTTTTCCATGTTGTCTGATAGGGTAGAATCAATATTTGTACATTTTCGGAATGATTAATAGAGCATTTTCTTTGGGGAGGGAGATCACTGTAAAATTTTACTCCCTCTTTGTTGCAGCCTGAGTTCACTGATTTTGGTATAGTGAAGTATGGGGGTTTCTGTCTACACAGGCCTTCCTGAGGAAGTGGAAGAGTCGGGTTGTTGTGGAGGTCTGTAA